CGGGTGCTCAAGGGTTCATGGGAGTTTACCCAACCAGTCCACATGTGCTTTGTGGATCTGGAGAAGGCATTCGACCGTGTTCCTCGTGGTGTCCTGTGGGAGGTGCTCTGTGTGACCGTGTTCCTCATGGTGTCCTGTGGGGGATGCTCTGGAAGTCTGGGGTTCGGGGCCCTTTGCTAAGGGCTGTCCGGTCCCTGTATGAGAGGGAGCTGTGTTCACATTGTCGGATTTTGCCAGGGCCACCCCTGTCACCGGTTCTGTTTGGTCATTGTATTTACGGACAGAATTTCTAGGCGCAGTCAGGGGCTGGAAGGGGTCTGGTTTGGGGACCACAGGATCTCATCTCTGCTGTTTGCAGATGATGTTGTCCTGTAGGCTTCATCAGGCCAGGACCTCCAATGTGCACTGGGGCGGTTTGCAGCCGAGTGTGAAGTGGCTGGGATGAGAATCAGCTCTTAGAAGTCCGAGGCCATGGTTCTCGACCGGAAAAAGGTGGCTTGCCCTTTCCGTGTGGGTGGAGAGTCCCTGCCTCAACGGAGGAGTTCAAGTATCTCGGGGTCTTGTTCACGAGTGAGGGGAGGATGGAGCGTGAGATTGACAGGCGGATCGGTGCAGCGTCTGCAGTGATGCAGTCGGCCGCTGCTCCTCCACATGGAGAGGAGCAGCTGAGGGGACGGCATCTGTTCTGGTGCCTCCTGGGCGTCTCCCTCGGGAGGTGTTCATGTCCCACCGGGAGGAGGCCCCAGGGAAGACCCAGGACACGCTGGAGGGACTATGTCTCTGGGCTGGCCTGGGAATGCCTCAGGGTTGCCCCGGAGGAGCTGGAGGGAGTGTCTGGGGTGAAGGAAATCTGGGAGTCCCTACTTAAACTGTCGCCCCCGTGATCTGACACCGGATAAGTGGAAGAACATGGATGGATGGATGGATATATTCATAAATGATATATATTATTGATATGCAAATGAGAAGGCTTAGAACTCAAAATCCAGCTTGGTAAACAAAATATTCTGAATCAGCACCCTCAAATTATGTAAAAAAAAAAAAAAAAAAAAAAGGTTTACCGGCTTTTCCTCAAATTTGCCCTCAGGACTTCCTAGTCTATCATGAGTGAGGGAGAGATGCTGTTCCCATTTTATTGACAGTAATGATATGGTTTGTTCGGAGTGAGATATTATTCTATAAATCTTTGATAGGAGTTTTTTGGGGTTTGGGATATTGATTGATGCTGAGATTGCAGGAGAAAGGTGTAGATTTGCTGTACTAATATTAATTTTTGACTGTACTGAGGATTTGAGTTGTGAATATTCTAGAAATTGATTACTTGTGATGCCATACTCCTGGACCAGGTATGGGAATGACACCAGGGTGTTATGATGGTGTTTTATATGTGTGATGCCCTTTTGTACCCAGGAGTGAAAATTAAATGTTTTATTTTTTTGTTTGTTTGTTGTTGTTTTTTTGTGAGGGTTATTCTACGTCTAGCCAGGTGTAATCTGAGTGACTGGGGTGTTTCCACTTGTATATGTACTGTAACTGATTTGACAGAGAGTAATGATAGAAGTGTGGTGCATCTAATCCGCCTGTTGCTTTGGGTTTTTGAAATGTAGTCAGTTTGATCCTTGGTGGCTTATTTTTCCAGTAGAACTTTGTGATTATTGAGTCGACCAGGTGTTGGTGGGTTGGGTTGGAATCATTGAAAAGAGATAATTTATTTTGTGAGGTATTTTCATTTTGATTATTACTATTCTGCCCAGAATGGATAGTGGTAGATTCCTCCAGTGGTATAGATCGTTGTTTTGAGTAGTGAGGTGAAATTGAGTCCAGTCAGCTCTGACAGCCTGGAGGAAATGTTAATGCCCAAGTATGTGATGTGACCGGTGGATAAAGGAATAGGTGATGTATGGGCTGTCGCATCCCATTTGGTGTTGTGCAATGGGAGGATGGAGGATTTTGTCCAGTTTATTGAGTAGTCAGAGGTCTTAGAGATTTATTCAGTAAGGTTAATTGAATTAAGCAGGATGTCATCAGCATAGAGATTAATTGTATGTTGCATATAAGATGTTTGAAATCCTTGTATGCGGAGGTTCTAACAGATGGCTATTGCTAATGGCTCAATGAAAATGGTGAATAGGGAGGGGGGGAGTGGTGATGTTAGACCGTAGACCGTAATGACAGAGCCTGAAGGTGAAGTGTACAAAATTTTAATCCAGTCAATAAATTATTCCCCAAAGCCAAATTTGTGTAGTGTGGCGAAGAGAAATTTCCAATTTACCTTGTCAAATGCTTTCTCTGCGTCTAAGGTTGCTATGATGGAGTCTTCTTCTTATACTGGTGAGTAGTGGATTAAATTAAACAGTCTGCATGTATTATTAGATGCCTGCCTAATTTGCTGAGGATTTTTATGTCTACATTGATGAGAGAGATAGGGCGGTAGTTTGATGGTAGGGTTTGGTCTTTATTCGGTTTGGGGAGGAGTGAGATAACAGCCAAGATCATGTGTTCTGGAAATCTGGACTTTGTTTAATTTCAGTTATTGCTTTGGTGAATAGTGGTACTAAAATGGACTAAAAGTGTTTATAGAACTCAGCAGGGAAGCCATCGGGACCAGGTGCTATGTTGTTGGCATAAGGTTGAGGGCTGTGGAGAGTTCATTTTCTGCTACCGGTGAATCTAACATACCAATCTGTTCCGTATTAAGATGTGGTGTTTTGATGTTCCTGAGAAATGCGTCTATGTCTTCTTGTTTTGGATCCTGTTCAGATCATAAAAATTTCAGAATTTTTAATTTATTTCCTGTGGTGAGTTATTGAGCTTCTCTGCTATGTCTCTGATGGTGGAAACTGTATTTTTTTCTTGATTTCATTTGATTTGAATTGCCAGATATTTACCAGATTTATTGTTGTGATGAAAATTATCTTGTCGGTCTGTGAATTAAGAATTGTGTTTGTTTATTTACAATGTTTTTAAGTTGGAGTTAATATTTCCTTTAGTCACTCTGAGTTTCTTTTGTGGAATTATTAGCATTAAGTGTTTCTAATTGTTTGATCATAAGTTCTAGACTTGCTTCTTGTTTTTCTTTTTCTTTTTTACGAACAGAAAATGAAATGATTTTACCTCTTAAAACTGCTTTGCCTGTTTGCCAGAGAAGTGTGGGTGATGACTTTGGGGAATCATTTATTTCTAAGAAGGATGCCCACTCTCTTTTGATATAACTGTCAAAATCTGGGTCATTGAGAATGGATAGGTTGAAGCGCCATCTAGGGGCCTGTTTATATTGCTTGTTTATGTTCTATGTAATTGTCACTGATGATGATACGGTGAATTCTTGATTCGAAGATGTCTAATATAACTTAGTTACTGATCAGTAAGTAATCAATACGGGAGTATGAATGATGGACCAGTGAGTAAAAGGTGTATTTTCTAGTGGTTGAGTGTTGTAAGCGCCAACTATTGCCAAGACCAAAATCCTTCATGTACTGTTTTACTATTTCAGTAGATTGTCAGTGTGTTTGTTACTTGCGTTATTGGAACGGTCAAGTGATGGGTCTATGATTGTGTTAAAGTCGCCTCCGATTATGACTGGGCAGTTGAAGACATTTGAGATGGAAGAAAAGAAGGAGTAGAAAAAAGAAGGGTTATCTGTATTTGGGCCGTAGATATTGCCAATTGTTACCGGGCTATTGTTGATTGATATATTAATTATAACAAAACGCCCTTCAGGGTCTGTGATAGTTGTATTGTGGATAAAAGCTTTTTTTTTTTTTGCTTATTAATATGCTCATGCTCTTTGCTTGGAATTGTAATGAGAAGAAAAAGAGTGGGTGAATTCTGAAGTTTTAAATTTATGATGGTCAATGTGTGAGAGATGGGTTTCTTGTAATAAACAGATGTCTGCCTGTAGATTATGAAGATAACTGAGTATTTTTATTTTTGTTGTCTGGGAGCCAATGTCATGAATGTTCCAGGTTACAAAGGAAGCCATTTAAAGAGACGTTCAAACTATAAGACATACTGATGTGGATGTGTCTGCATATGCATGTAATTGTGAAAGAAAGAGTAGGGCTATGTGTGTCCATGTACTGTGTATGTGTGTCTGTGTGAGTATGTGTGTGTGTGTGTGAGCGCACAAGCATGCTGGTATGACAACAAAACAAGATGAGACTGAGGGAAAACGGTTACACCCTTATCATCAGAAGGCCCCCTAGTCAGAAAGCCCACTAGTCAGAAGGCCCTGTAGTGAGAAGGCCCACTAGTCAGAAAATCATTCCCTCTTCTATTGGTTTGTCAGCAACATTTCTCTTGAACAATTGAATGTATATTTGATGAAAGCAACAGGGAATAATCCATGGATATCAGGGAAGAATTAGTAAACTTAAATATGGGCTACATGTGTGTGCCCCAAAAGTTAGGAAACAGGAGAATGATGTAATGTTTGTGAATGAGTCGGTTCTTTGGAATGTGAATGGTTAGAACTGGATCTGATTAAAAAAAAAAAAAAAAAGAAATGAATTTTTTTCTTTCAAATTTGTAAGCATTTTAAAACTGATTAACACTGAATTAACACAAAAATCAGCAAAGAAGTCAAGGAGGCAACATCAGTTAGAGCTCAGTGAACAAAAATCATAATGTTTTATTTAGATTATGGTACTTTCAAAGGAAAACACACTCCCGCTCTCATGTTGAACCATGTTATTCAAATCTGAGCCTTTGTTATTTCTCTCCGTGATTAGTTTGTTGTTAAAACTAGTACTCACATTAGCTTCTGTCATCTGAATAAATAGTAAAAGAGTCTTTTGGACCACTCTCTGAAATGAACATGTTCAAAAAATAAGGTAATAACAAAAAAGAGGAAAAACTCTGGACTCCAGTAAGCCACAATGTAAATTGGCTAATGGCCAGTCTTTTAAAGAGTCAGAAGCAGTCATCTGTAAAGATCATGGCCAACTAAAATGGGCATAAGAATCCCTGGGGCGTGGCTAACAGTGTCCTATGCTCCTCAGAAGTCAAGTGCGGCGGCCCTCTGTGACCTCACCACTGAGGTTCTGCGAACGATCAACGCCACTGAGACGGCCATGGTTCAGCTGGGTCTGACTGAGGCTGGTCACCTTGGTAACAGCCATGCCCCCAATGGCCCCGACCACACCTCTGATCATACCTTTAGAGAGCTGGAGGAAAATGTAAGAATATATATATGTTACACAAAATTGACTCAAAATTGACTTAAGCCATGTTATAATGTTGTTCCCTCATTATAAATATACTTTGTTTTATTTTGTTTCATTCACACATGTAATCCTGCATTATTATTCTAGCCTGATTCATCAGCCGATTTCACTTCGTTTCACTTCGTAGAAACTGTCTGACCTCGCAGTGTTAGTATTTGTTCACTTGACGGTGGGCGGGTACTTTTTGTCATTTAACCAGTTGCTGCTGTTTGGTCGTGATGTATGTAATGCACCGCTAACGGGGCTAACTGGTTTATTAAGCTTTTACCAAATCCCGTAGGAAGGAAAACAGTAACGTCTTTCCCCTGGATGAAATTCCCCAAATCTTTTTTCCGGCATTAAATCCTCGATCTCAGGAATCGTTGACAACACTGAATATATGGCTCTTTGCTGATTGGCTGGTGCCCGAACTTGCACTTCCGGGGTTTTTGTGAACCGTCTAGTGTAGTGTAGAAATGAAATTGAGTGGAAGCACGAGGTGGTGCCAGCCTGGCTAATATTCTGTCTAGATCTCCAAAACTGAAAATGCTCTGTTCCACCTTGTGATATCATAAAGTGATAGTTTTCATGTTAACAGCTACCCTTTGATCAGTAGAAATTATTGAAATAGGGGAGGACTTTCTGCATTACCACCTGACATCACAAGGTGGAAGTGTTTTCCGTTTGAGAGAGCCTAAATCTGCTGGGTTTGTGTGTTAAACATGTGTGAATGAAACAAAACACAACTCCAGGTCTGTCAGCGATGAGGAAAAATTATAGTAAACTAAACTAGTTACACTGAACCTGCAATTTCAAATAGTTTCTCTCATAAATACATTGTATTTCAACATTTTTGGACATATCTCTATAGCTGCTCACTCATGAAGTCATTCGAGGAGCTGAACTACACAGATCAGGGTGTCTCTAAGGTGAACAACTAGTACACTTGTTGATCAACTAGTACACTTGTTGATTATCTGACAGTAAAATAAAAAAAATAAAAATAAAAATAAAATGATAATATACAGACCTCATACAATATATCTGCACTGGGACATTATTAAAATAATTTAGACACAGTAGCTCACACATCAAGTAAAAACAAAGTAAAAATAAAATATAGACATATGGTCATATAGACAGACCTCAGCTGTATAAACAAGGTCGTGAGGAAAAAACCTGCAAAGATGAAATAATGATTGACAGGACACAGGTTTATCTGTTACATAAGGCTGAGTTGTTGACTTTTCTAGTCTTTTATCATTTATCACTTTTATCATTTGTGTTCTTAATTTTGTTCTACTGGTTTTATCTTGTGGTATTATATATTTTATCACAATACATTCTTCCAAAATGTTCATGGTGATTATACTCCAACTTATTAGAAAATATTATAAAGTTACTTTCAAATTATCCCATTACTACGTATCTGTAGGTTTTTTTTTTTGTTTTGTTTTGTTTTGTTTTTGCATTTGCTCAAATGTTGCTCCCATAGCCTTGAAGAGCTTCATTTGGACTCCGTTAGTCCACTTCTAATATACAGATTATGGCTGAGCCATGATCCAAACCTTGTCAAAGGCTGATTTGTCTTTGATCTTAGAAGATAAGGATGGGCCTGGTTAGTATTTGGATGGAGGACTTATGGGAATACCAGTTGCAATTGGGTGCTAGTGGCTAAAACTGTTGTGTCCCTAGGCTAGACACTTCTAGAGAACTAGTGATCTGTTCTCCAGTGCCCTGCTTTATAGTGCTTTTTCTCCTATGCAGGTGTACTTGGCAGCAGGAAAGTCTTATGATCTGGAGGGGAAGCTGAGACGCTTGGAACAGAGTGCCAAGAACCGCTTTGGTGGAACGACTGATTCAGACCTGTCAGAGCTGGAGGATGTGGTGGCCCTGACGGCAGCTCGCGTTCAGAGTGCAGAGAGTGAGGTCAGTGCTAGGGGAGGTCTCCATATAAAGTGTCAAGATTATTGAGTGACAAACTTAAGTTATGATTTATTATTGACACTGTAACCAAGCAAAAATCCTGAAATCCTTAATAGGCCGGGAGCCAGGTTCACCCCTCAGGATATTTTTTGCTACCTTTTTTTCACTATTATTTCCTGTTATCTTATATCTTGGGCCATCACGAGTTGATAGGGACCAACCCCAACTCGCCCCCCAAATACTGTTTCTATTAAAAAAAATCCTACTTAATCCCATAAGTAATGGTAATGCCTGACAGTTCTGCTTTCTGCCGATTTGAGGTACAGTGAAGAACTTTGGTCATAGCAGCTGTTTCCCTCTAGATACAAAGGTCGTCTTGGGTTTAAATTGAAGCTTATAAACTTGGGAAGTTTTTCGTCTACATTTGAGGCAGTGATATATGCAATAAAATGCTTGAAAATGATCCCCTTTGGTGACAATTTGTCAGGCGGACAGACATTTTTTTTGTCTTTTGGGGGATGTTGAGGGTGATATTTGACAGTAGAAAGGCAGCAAGCCCCAGAAATTTTTTCTGCTAGTTTCCTCCATGTGTCAGGATACACCATGTAAAATTTTAGGGTTATTTGACCATGTATGCAGTTACAGTACCTTAATATTTACAGTTACATCATTTCGCAAATAGCTTTTCTTAAAAAGGGTGCTTTTTTGGGACCTGAGACTAAACGGGGCCGAGTTGGAGTTTGTCCCTATCAACTCGTTATGGCCCAAGATATAAGATAACAGGAAATAATAGTGAAAAAAGGTAGCAAAAAACATCCTGAGGGGTGTACCTAACTCCTGGCCTATAAAGCGCTTGCCTGAATGTGTCCTTGTCCTTGATGTACTTATGGATCATGGATGTTTCATCCTGGACAGTGGTTCTCACACTCACTTGTCCTCGGCCTTTTTACTTCCGGCTTGCATACAGTCTCAGGGTGCTGGATTTGGGATGGAACCCTCCATGCTGTTAAGACATAAAAGCTCCAGTCAGGAGTTTTCATGTCTTAACATCTGTGGTCTGTATGTCCTCCATTGGCCAACTTATGATTCCTGCTGATATCTGATTATAGGTAGGGCATAGCTGTATATATAGTATAACCTAACTAATCATGATTATCCACTAACCCAATAATTTTGAGATCTATAGTCAGTATATTATTTCATTTAAGAACAATATGAAATATGGAAGTTCTGTATTAACATTGTCTTTTTTCTACAGGTGTCAGATATTGAAAGTAAACTGGCGGCACTGAGCAGTGGATCCAAGAAAAAGGTAAAATCACAATAAAAAATAAGAATAGACTTGAATAGAACATGCTGTTATCATAAGCTCTCACTCTCACTGTATAACATTTCCAATGGAGGGTCTGCCGTCTGATTGTCTCCATGAAAATACAATTGTTTTATTCCACAGTATGAATTAAACATATTAATATTTATCACACGGGGTTACAGCAGTACATACAATTCAGATCTGTGGAAAGTTACCTTTATTCACAGAAGGAATTATTGTATTTTTGAGCAATATAAACTAGGACCTTACCGATATGGGTTGATATGGATCCGATAAGGAGGACAGGAGATTTCTGGATCAAATGTGATGAGACTTGGGTCTGACTCTGTTAGATTTTAAATTGGGTTTATTTAGACTACAATGTTGGAAAACAACCAGTTAGCTTTTAGTGGTTAACCTAAATGCGTGTACCCCACAGTAGTTAATTATATTTGTAAATGTGGACCATTCACACCTCTATTCACAGCTCATTTACATATGTGTCCAATATACAGTCACAATAGTCACTACAGTAGGCCAATATAGAAATATTTATGTGTGGTATCTTACAGCAGCTAAGAGCCAATCAATGTGAAAGAACAAAAAGTAGCTCCAAAACCGACACATTTGCAACACTCACTGCTCACCCAGGCACGTCTCAGATCACAAGTCTTGACTAATAATTCTTTTCATAATCCTGACTCAAAAGATCATCCATAAAAAGAATATAATCCAGCATGTTGACCGCAGCTCAGTAGTATAGTAATCTCTTCTCTGCAGTCACACTTTGATAAAAACAAACAGTAGTTTTATTGCTGGAAGTTAGCTTTAATTTATGGTCAGTATCTTAGATAAGACACTAGAGCATTTAAAGACAGTGCCTCAGTGCAACCTCAGAGCGATGCTGAGAGCTCACTGCGTCACATGATGTGACTCTGGGGGTGCATTCAGGTGCAGTATGACGTCACACACACAGACAAATTACTCCTCTGATAAATATTGATGTTGCGCCATATTTTAGGACAGTTATCTGTCTGTAAATTTGATTAAAATTGCTGTAATATAAAGAGTCTAAGCTGTATAATGAGGTATAACTTGACCATGTGGGCTACTGGCCCATATCAGATAGATTTAGGATGATAACCGATATGTATCCAAGTGCCCACATTAGCCAATAATATCAGCCAACTGTTATAGCAGTCAGGCCTTAACACCCGTAATGAATAAATGCTAGATGTACAGTATATGTTTAATGCCATGGGATGGAACATTCCTGGCAAATCAATAATATCTACACAGTTCTACTGCTTGTCTGCATGGAGATGTTATTGCTTTGCCTGCAATTTGCCACAGTATGGCATTAATATCCACTCCATGGAGACAAGCAATTGATGCCAATTGACCAATTTATTGTTTTAATTTTAAAAGCACCTGCAATTGAAAAAAGTCCAAGTTTGAAACATCTGGGGTAAATAAATGAGGTGTGAAAATGTGTCCAATGTCTAAGGTGTATGTGCGTGTTGAATAGTGACAGTCAAATATTAAGCAAAATTAAGGTTTAGAGACACTGCCAGTCTTTTTGTGTGCTTTGTGTTGCATAAGCGCTTTGTGATGTATTTCTGTAGGAAAAGTGCTCTATAAATAAAGTTTGATGGATTGATTGAAAGTGGCTGTTGTATGGCTGTCTTTGAGAAAAATTATGTCACCCATATGTTTTTGTTATAATTTGAGATCTAAATGTACATGATCTTGTGGGTTGCCATGGCTGCAACAGAATGTTAAGTCCCCTAAAATTGCCAAACTGAGGGGGAAAAGGTAACATTTTTGTAAAATCTTAAATATAATAAACTGTGTTTTAGTAAAATTAGTATTCTAACCTGTGAAGTTTAAGTTGTAAATGACATGAAATGGGCTCCAGTGTTCTGGACCAGAAGCAGCACTCACAGACTCTGTAAACCCTCTTCTCTTCTTCAGGGTTCAGTTTCTCAGAGGAAAAAGAGCACTCAGGATGTCACCACAACCAGTAAGTCTTCAAGTCACACAATCCTACAACTGGGCAGAACCTTTTTTGAACACACAACAGTAGGTTGCACTTCCTAACTTTTTTGTCCTGTTTTTTTTTTTTTTTTAAATAAATCATTCAGATATGATTTAGTTTATCTCATGTTTGTGTATTCTTAAATGTTTTGACCTTCAAATTACACTATATTTATAATTCTAAATCAGATATTACATCGACATTACTCTTCAAGTTACTCTTACTTTAGTAGTAGTTTTCTCAAATACCTTTTTATTCTTCTTGGAGTAATTTCCTGGGCCACTACTGTGTACTTCTACTTAAGTAATATTATTTAGAAGTAGCTCTTAACTTCCTGTTAATTCCTATTCCACTAACCTGTATTAAACATATGGATAACACATATATTAAATAGTTCTCCCATTTATCCCATATTGTTTGACTCAAGTGTAATGACAAATTTTTGTCTAATTACCAGGTTGTGATTTTGTCTTTTACAGAGGGATCTCCGTGGAAAAATGTCTACTGACTGAGGAGCTACTGTGGATCAACTGCAATACTTTAACTAAAATAAATACAATACTTGGTATAGAGCCCTTGTACCCACATGACAAAATCTGGGGATGCCATATTAGCAGTGGTAAATTAGCGCTAATAGACGAGTCCCCTTTTGGAGGGTTATTAGATCAGATGAAATCGTAGAGAATAATTATCTAAAAATGAATTTCCCTAAACACTAGTGACCCTTACCTGGCATGCGAGTGATATTTTAAAGATAAGAATATCATGATAAAGTTAAAAATATTTTTTGTCAATCATTTTAAAAAGTCCAACCCGTATAGTATAAAGACTCATGGCACAAGGAGTGAAGTTTTCAAGCCTTTTTTAAAATTATTATTTTTGATGATTATGGCTTACAGATAATGAAAACCCCAAATTCTTTGTCTACAAAAATTTGAATATTACAGATGATAAATTAAAAAAATGAAATGTGTGGCAGTAAGAGCATGTGGTGCCTTGATGAGCTTCAATTTGCTATCACACAGTCTTTCACAGACATCTTTCTAGTCATATGACCAATGTGCAGATGTTGTAGCATACCAAGCCTAATTCACTCAAGTCAATGCAATAAACACCCCAAATTTTCACATTGGTATATCTTTATTTTGTGATTTTAGTTCTCTAAGCACACACGCACGCACACGAGCACACACACTTTCTTTTTTTTCTAACAAAAAAGAAAAAAAAATGTTTTGAGTTATGTTGTTGGTAAAAAAAAACTAAACAAAAACAAAACACACACTTAGAAAATATAGCCCAAATGACCTGCTTCCATTTTTTATTTATTTTTTTCTCTTGCCTCTCCGGGCTTCCATAATAGATTCTCTTCAAATTAACCAACAATACATAAACAGCTTTTGAATCGTTATGAGACTATGCTTGACTCATTCAAGTAAGAAAAACAAAAAAACAAAACAATATCAGTGATCAGTGTAAAAATACATTCATAACTTAATTGTTTTATTAGCTCCTAGCCCGTCTAGCTGCAGAAATCCACTTCTGGCTCTCTTCTGTCTTTGATAATGATTGACAACCAGTATGCAACAATTATCCTCAATCTTTAAAAAAGTTAAATAATTACGGCCGACATGGTAAGTTTGTATGGAAATTCTTAGCCACAACCACTGCCACTGCAGGGTCTGGAGGTCACAGGAGCTCTAGAATAGTCCTTTTCTTACCTCTTCTTTCCTTTTATCCTACTGCTAAACAGTATGTATAGCAAAGAGTTCCAGCTCTGATTTCAACAATAAATAACAATCATTTCATGTGTTATTTGATTCTTATTTGAATGAACAATGTTAGAAATACTGAGAGGAGGTATTGAGATTGGGGACTGGAGATGTTGAAGTTCTCTGTGGGCATAATAAGTTGTTTGGGTTGTCAAGCAAACACACATTTCACATCTTCTTGTGTGGGGCTGTCAGTATTGAGTTCACTCATGTGGGGGGCCGGCAGCTGCGGAGCCCCTCTCTCCTGGGTGTGGAGGCAGGGACTACTTTGGGGGCAGGTCCTGTGTTGAGCTCTGGGCTCAGGCTACGAAAGAGCTGTCGCACACAGCGTGGTTTCACTGGGAAAGATTTGACTGAAAATGGTTTTACTGTGAAAGGCATTAGTGGCAGACGTCTGTACGTGACTTTTGACCCCAGAGGGCGTGTGGGACGCCGCCGTCGCCGAGGCGATGGGCCAGGGTCTGATCCATAGGAGGAGTGACCTTGGGCAGAACAGAGTAAATACAGCATAGAAGTCTGGCGCTGAAGAGGACATAGCAATGAAGTGTACTTTTCTGGTAAAGGCCCTGAGAGTAAAGGCTCATCAGGGACAAGGGTCTGTGGAGGCGGGGCCTCAGGGGCAGATTCTTTAGAGGGGAGGGCCTCAGAGGGTGTGGCTACTGCAGGACAAGACACATGCTGTGTCTGAGTGGCTCTGCTCAGTTTCACAATCTGCACAAATGTAACAAAGACATCATCATTTGTACAACAATAATAATTTGGTTTTATTCTGTAATTTTAAAGTTACCATCTGTAATTAGATTGGCTGACCCACCCCGTTGTATTCTCACATATCACCACTAATAATAATGCCTTACACTTGTAATGCTTTACAGCAGAGGTCCCTAACATTTTTCCCCAACCCACGGACCGGTTTACTGTCAGACAATATTTTCACCAACCGGCTTTGCTAGCTTGTGGTTTTAATATTAGCCTAAATGTATCACGTGACCGAGACAAGCATCTTGACATGCATCAAGAGGATATAAGGATTATGAGGATATAAAAGTGTGGAAAAGTGAGGACAGGAGGAGACAGGGAGCAGTGAGGACAGCCGGAGACGACGCTGTAAAACTTTTGTCGCCGTTGACAGTCCTTATTGAAGGTAAGTGCAGATTCACAGTTTGTGTTTTAGTGCAGATTCTATTCACTGTTTTCCTTGTGGGAGTAACATCAGTGCACCTGACAGGGATCGTACAGAGAAATCGTACGTGTGCACATACATGAGAACCTCCTATAACTGGGCTGTAGTCCCAGTCTGTGCCTGGGCACAGTTTGATTGTGCTCACCCTAGACAAACGTACTGCGCTTTAGGGGCGATCCGTGCTTGGACACGGTTCTAAAGTCCTACTGTGAGTGCACCCATAGACAGATGTAACAGAGAGAATCACGTCATTTTTTCAAAATAAAACATTGTTCAGTCTTGGATAATAAATAAAACGGAAATAATGTAAGTCCACCACTAATCATTCACACACACATGGACGGACGCACAGACGCACGTGTGCGCACACACACACACCTTTCATACTAGAAAATGCGGGTGAAGTATCTTGCCTAAGGACACAATGACCGAATTTGGTCTGAGGGAAACTGATCCTCCGGTCTTTGGGTTGGGGGACCACGACTCCAATAGAACCATTGTTACCCCATCTATGTTACTGCTGTGTGATAGTGTGCAAACATTGGTCTGACAGAAGACCAGCAACAAGAGGTGAGTGAGCCTGAACAAAGGCTAGGTGAGGGGAGTGAGGAACATGTTTCACATTTGCTATTTACTGGTGAAGACAATGTAATAAATGTACAGATGGTAGCTTTAAAATTGAAATGTATAAGTTGTAATCTTAAATATTTAATGTGAAACAATGTAGGTTGTATTGTATTGCACGCATAATGCAATCTCTTTATTAATAACTATATCCTGTACTTCCATTACAGTAAGTAATGTGTAGAATATTAACTACTTATGATATTATCTTACTTGACATCTGGCTGCCCTGCTAAAGTCCCGCCTCTTCTTAGTCTCGATCTCAATGTCATGATGAAATAATGGCAGCAGGTCAGGCTTGGTCTCCTTCTTGTAGCCCCGACATCCATACCTGTCACACAGACATACAGCTCACTCCATCTCAATGATTGTTGCAAATTCACTAAGAAGCCATGTTCTTTCACAAGGCTTCTCAGTCTCCACAACATATCAGTCTGTCACCTAGTCTGTGAATGACCAATGACCAAATCAAACACTTGTACTTGCTTATTATTCATAGTGAACTTGATATTTTAACTGTACTGTGCTTAACAGTTGTTAGTGCTTCACCTGCTTAAGTCTGTAAAGCTGTTATGAAGTGGGCAAGACAGTTAAGCTGGCTGCACACAAGTGGCTATGATAGGTTACTACTCATTTGACAAAAACAGTTCTGTTGTCATTATATTTAAGACTTTACAAATTACATTTTTCCCCAATTGAGCATTTTTTTTAGGTTTCAAATTTTACATTTGTCATCACAATAGGGACCTCCAAAACTTACCTCGAAACCATGCTATAAATCGGCCAGAACTTTCCTGTACATCAAAAGTATTATTTGACAGATAAGAAAACACATTTAATTGTTTAAAAACTATAATTTATACACTGCTCAAAAAATTAAAGGAACACTTTGAAAACACATCAGATCTCAGTGAGAAAAAAAAAAAATATATATATATATATATATATATATTATATATGAAATGTTGGATATCTATACAAATATGGACAGGACACTAGAGTGGCAACAGAAACTGCACAGATTCTCCAACTTCTCCAGGATGGCACATCCGGACGTGCTGAGAGCTGCCCTGTGTTCTTCACAGATGAGAACTGGTTCACCCTGAACACCTGCAATAGATATGAAAGAGTCTGGAGAAGACTGGAGAAGAACGCTCTGCTGCCTGTAACATGGTTCAGCGTGAGCGGTTTGGTGGTGGGTCAGTAATGATCTGGGGAGGCAGACCCATGGAGGGACGCACAGATCTCTACAGGTTAGAAAACATCAGTCTGACTGCCATTAGTTATCAGGATGAAATCCTTGAACCCACTGTCCGGCCTCAGAGTTTGCATGCAAAACCTGGAGGATGAAGTGATTGATACAACTGATTGGCCCTAACAATCACCTGTCTTAAACCTGATAGAACACTCTGGGACATTATTGTTGGGTCCATCAGACGCCTCCAGGTTGCTCCTCAGACTCTACAGGAGCTCAGTGATGTCCTTACACAGATCTGGGAGGACATCCCACAAGACTCCATCCATCGTCTCTTTAGGAGCGAGACATGACGTTGTCAAACATGCAAACAAGCACGTGGGGGCCACGAGAGAAGCATTTTAAGTTGCAGAAATTAAATTTTGCGCCACACGAGGCTCAGCTCCGCAGAGTGTTCCTCGCTGCACGGTGCTCCCGCTGCTTGGGGCTCAGTGCAGCTGTTGCCTGATGGTGCTTTGCGGACACTCACTCGCTCTCTCTCAAGTCCAAGATTAGTCCTGGCGTAGTCCTGGTTTAGACCTGGCTTTCCTTTTGTTCCCAAGACATTGTCCTGTCCATATTTGTACAGATATCCAACATATATTTTCACATTGAGATCTGATGTGTTTTCAAAGTGTTCCTTTAATTTTTGTGAGCAGTATAGATACACTTTCACTTTCTTGAAATCACCCTCATTTTTAAAATCATCTTGTGTGCACTCATTCTTACAATCTGCCTTATACAGATGTGTGAGCCACACTGACTGTTTCATTGATTTGCTAACGTGCTGTTGTTTATTATTATTATTTTTTTATATAAACAGTGAATAAATGACTGTGGTTTGAGAAGATAGATTGGTAATGGATGAGTGGTAATGACCTAGCTAGGGACTCTGAGTCGAAGTAGCAAGTACGGACTCCCGCCTTGAACTGTTGGACAAGTTTGAGCACCCGGGCCTCATCTTCCTTTTCGATCTGTGCCCATGACTTTCCTCTGAAGGAGGGGGGAATGAGCTGAGGCAGTGGGAGTACTTTTTCAATGGGCTGCTCCAAGTACCCCCGTCTGTCTTCAGGGGCCTCCAGGAGCCAGTCCAACTGCTGGCTGTAGTCTTGCTCCACATCCACCTGCACCTCCAGTAAAGTCTCCACCTGCTCTAGAGGAAGCCCAGCCTGACCGGGGCTATTCTGTGAACAAAATGCGCAGTAGGGCTGTCAAAAATACTAATCCATACTAAAACAACTACTGTTTTAGTAATAGAAATATTTACATAGGACAAAATGTGACCTTTGGTGAGTAGTTTTAGAAAAGTCTTTGTGTTGATTTACACACTTTGCCAAAAATTACAACAATAAAAAAATTGTCTACAATTTTATTTTTCTTCTTTCATCATCATTCTATCACTGGTATAAGACCTTTCCTTTGGTAACAAAATCAAGTTTGAAATGTTGACACCACCCATGTGCAATTCAGTTGTGTGGGATGCTCAGGTTTTGTTTTTTTCTTTGGACAGGCACAATGACCATGGTATATTTATGAATAAATTTGTATTTAATTGTTGAGCAAGATGTCATACATTAGAATACTTTTTCACTAAAACATATACTAAACATAACCATATTTAAGTTTTACAAACTTTTTTTTTTTTAAATCACCAAATTTAGTATAAATATAGTATACTATATATTGATATTTCAATATTTTTGCACACCCCTACAATAAACTTAATAACAAAATTTTAAAGTCACATTCTCCACTCACCAGTATGTCAATGTCCCATTCAGTCTGCGTTTCTATGGAGATGGGGAGACTGAAATGCACACTGCTTGATTTGTCATCATCGTCCTGGCCATAGCAGTAGCGTCGGATCACCTGTAAACACCAGACAGATTTGGCTAAAATATGACAATAACAAAAACATAGAACATTTTAGTGCTTCCTAGTGCAGTTGATTCAGTAGAACAGAAAAGTAGATTAGATATGATAGAAATATGATAATCAAGCAAACTGGAAAAATAAAACAAATAATGGGTTCACTGGTACCTGTTCAATGGTGGAGCTGCTATGATCTGAGCTGAAATCGCCTCTTTGCTGCCACCTCCTGGTTCGGTGCCATGCCGACCATGTGATCTGTGGGATGGGGACTGGTGGCTGACATGTCTCAGGGGGTGGACCTTCGTGCTGCTGCAGGGACTGCTGGTCTTTCTGGTGTGCTGCCAGGTCAGAGGGACTGAGAAACAAAGTAGCAGGAAGAGGGTTTATCCATTGTACCCAATAGAGCATATGGTAAATAAAGGAACTGGAAAGTGAAATGATTACCTTGAAAAAATTCTATGCATCTCAAGCTATACATTTCTGTTAAAGGTTTGATGACAGAAAAGATGGGGGACATGGCCTTACAATCAATACAATCAAAAGTTAAAAAGTTTATCAAAATATGGACAAGCAGCATGATCATTTGCAAACAAATACACATTTAAAGATGCATAATGCACAAACAGGAAATGAAGATCTTTTTCGCCAGCATGCTACGCAGTAAGGTGGAAACCGTAGGGACTATCAAAAATGGCTTGTCTCAACTACAATAGGGGTTCTCTTCAAGGTGGCACATTTAAAAAAATTTCAATCATCCAGTGAGAGCATGCAATAAAGCACATCTTAGGGACAATGCACACCGGGACGCTTTGATGCGCTGCAAAATCACTTCCTCCATTATTTTCTATGAGCATGCATGCACTAAGTACTTGGTTTCCTGAATCGGGATGCGACGCTGTGTCTGAAAACACATGTATTTTGAATTTCTACGGTGAGCAAAGACATGTCTCTGCTCTGTGACCGCCAAAAGGTTTGCTGTGTTCAACTCAGCAAAACACTAGCTCCTCCACTTGAGTCTTAAAATAGGGATTAAGCTGTACTCACTAGGGTTGGCAGTCGTATTGCGGTTTAAGGTCGCAGTTTTCGGTTTGGTTTCTTGTTGTCATTCTTTCTTTTTAATCTTTAAACTCCAGAGTTAGCTTCATTATCCACAATTTAGGATACAGCATTAAAAAAGCTATGAAATTATAGTTACTAATGTAATCATGCAAAAACTAAATTTGACTTGACTTTAAGCATATTATTATTGGACATAGGCAGCTGTTGTGCTTCAGTGAAAAAATGTTACCACCTTCCTAACCCTCAGGAGTCGGGATACTTGGTTTAGTGAGATTGCACTCTTGGCTGCAAGGTTAAGGCTGTGCGACCAAGTCCCGCTGCTAAATCTATAGCATTCACTATATTTTTAGCATTGTGCATAGTAACAGGAATTGTGCTGTTTACCTTCTCCAATTTCCATTCCGACACCGCGTTTGTCAGCATTTCAGCGAGATGCTCACTGGTGTGACTTTCATAAATGGGGCGTGTTTGGAAAACGCAGCTTCTCATTTCCCATTGCGAAGTAATGCAGTGAGCAACTTTCAGTAAATTTCAGTGGCCCTCGAGGGTAGGGATGGGCATTCGATGAAATTTTCTTAATCGATCGTTGGAAGAATTAACGATCGATTATCGATTAATCATTAACGTTTATATATTAAAATGATCATTATTATTATTACTATCTGCACTACTAATCTTCATAAATAAATTCAACTTTACGACATATAAACCGTAACGACTCTAGAGCCACATCAATCCGTTTGACATTATAATGTGTTTAATTCAGTTTTGCGCAACTCTCACAGAAACGAAACTTAAAACCGCATCGATAATTTGCATAAACTCAGCGAAGATAAAACTACAGCTCTTGAGCACTGATGTGGTTCAATTTCTGTAGGATTAAAAGACATGATTCAGTGGAATACAGGTTAGTGTGACCATATTTGCGTTTGTCAAAACCAGGACACCGTACGGGGGAGGGAGGTGGGTCCTCGTCATCGACATTGCGCGACTCTCACCTGGTAAAGCTTTTTCCCACTGGACACTGAAACATATGTTCCTGCTTTGTACACTGTGCACATGGACTCACACTTGTCCCGAACGCAACGGAAAGCGTGGATTTTCTTGTACAACTCATCGTTAAATACACATTTGTGCTTCGGTACGCTGCAGACTGACCGACTGTTTGTGTCTCGCTCCTTCTGAGTGCAGAGAGCTACATGTACGGACCCCTGTTTGGTCACGCTACGCACAGCAACCTACATTCGGTTTGTCGATTAAAATTAACGTAATCTATGAAATTCTTAATGATCAATTATCGATTAATCGATTAATCATGCCCATCCCTACTCGAGGGCCATCCATCTGTAGTGAGAGCTGTGTCGGACAATTCCTTGACTATGTCGTCTCGTGTCTCGTCGTAAAGTTTGAGAGTGAAAGCGAGAGAGAGAGAGAGAGAACGAGAGTGCGAGCAAGAGAGCAAGATAGCAAGAGAGAGAGGGAGAGAGGGAGGGAGAGAGAGAGAGAGAGAGAGAGAGAACGAGAGTGCGAGCAAGAGAGAATGAGAGAGAACGAGAGAGAGAGAGAACGAGAGAGAGACAGAGAGGACCGCAGAGCACTGCGGTCACCCACTGAATTGCGCAGGTGCACCTCCGGACCTGTCCCGACAGTGAGTCCTGGTTTAGTCCTGGTTTAGTCCTGGTTCAGTCCTGGTTCAGTCCTGGTTCAGTCCTGGTTCAGTCCTGGTTCAGGATCGCAATCAGTGCTTCTTCTGTTCAGTAAATAACGCCTGTGAAGTGATGACACGTCTGTGAATTCGGGTTTGTACTGAAGAAAGTGTAACCATTTAATTTCATTTCGTGAGTGTAATTCTTAAAGTTGTAACTTTTCAGTTCGCATTCTGATGGATGCTTCAGTTAGAATGCTTTTAATCCGTGTGTGATTTATCACGGGTAATTTGGGCCAGTTCACCTGGAAGCCTAAGGGCCAAGAAAAATGTGTCTGAGGGCCGCATTTGGCCCCCGGGCCATAGTTTGGACATGCCTGCTTTAGATGCACGGATATTTTTGAAGTGTTTGCACTAGCATATGGAATGTTTGTCATAAAATACTTGCGTTTAGTTGTAGTTCTGTCTGTGACTTTTTTTTTACTACCACTGTCGTCATAGTAACAGGGAATCCAAAATGTTCTCACACACCAGACTTAAACGACACGGGCACATCCTCCAACCCTTTGGGGCCCTCTTCTCTCCTACTCTCCATTTCTACACATGACGCGCAGCACCCACCCTCCACACCTCTTCTTTTGCGCCAAAGTGAAACAGGTCACATATGGACACGAGGCTACAATGCGCAAGGCGGGACCGTGGAAACCATACAGTACGCACACGTCCCAAACCGTGACAAGTGAACCGAACGGTAATTTTTTTTTTTTTTTCACGAACTGTGTCACCCCTAGTGCTCACACCAAACACAAATGGTGCGAACAAGGTGAATGATTTACATGTTAACCCCATGTAAAGGCACGTTGACACGCAAATAAAGTTCTGACTGAAATACAACTAAACCAGGACTGAACCAGGACTAAACCAGATCTAAACCAGCTTGGTCCCAGTCTCGGTCTCAGTCCCAGTCTCGGTCCCGGTCTCATCAGCCTGCTCAATGTAGCCCAAGTCCGCTATTTTTCCAAATGAAAACAGATGCAGAGGACACTGCGCAGCGGCCCTTGATCCCTCTGGAGCAAATAGAGCAAATTTACCGTACTTGCGCGATCAAATTTCCAAACTCACATGACCTGAGTGCACGAATGACTCAAAAAAGTCAAGCAGCACACTAGGGGTATGTGACTCAATTTATTTGCACCATCCGCATTTGGTCTGAACAGGGCTTAATAGAACACTCAGTGTTTGTTGAGAATATATTTTCTGATCAATAAGTAGAACCTCCCAGGGTACGCTTTGGATCACTTAAAAGGCCAGTACAGGACACTTTTGGACTGTACAAATTCTTTAAAAAGGGAAACGTAGCTTAAGAGGCGAAAAAAAAAAAAAAAAAAAACTATGTAAGTTTAACTGACACTTTAAGGCCATAATGTGGAATACTCCAGGCAGTCTGCTTGACATTGTCATGCAGACCCAGTAAACAGATAATCTGAATACCTTCTCCCATAACTATGTGGGTGGTGCTTGAGGACATCGTGGAGAAATCGTTCCAGCAAGATGTGTGCTGATTGGCTTCTGCAGTTTGAGGAGGAAGTCTCAGCTCCTCTGGCAAACAGATACTCTGCATCCAGGTGCTGGGGACTGGACAGGTGCTGTGGGGACACAGGGGGCCAGTCAGAAAACATACTCACACTGCCCTAAGGAGTACAGCATAAAACCATACCTGATCTAGGTCTTGGTACAAAACACGACATAAACCACAGTAGCCCTGCTGCTCAGGCTCCGGCCCCCGATCACACATTTTCAGCCAAACACAGAGCTGTATGCTATATTTGCTTCAATCCGTCTGAGAAGATAACAGGTGAAAGGTGAACATACATGAACAAAACAATGCACCAACAAGCCATAAATGTTAGTGTGTGCTATGCATTAGTCATCTTAGTGATAGTGGGAGTAGGACACTGGGTTATAGCAGCAACTGAAATATGTAAACAATATTATTATAATATTAACTCTCCTCTGACTGGCCTACACGAAGTCGATATGTATATATCCATCTATACTGCGACAGACAGATGAGGAGGAAAGTGGAGATAGACAGAAAGGAGGAGAGCAGAGGAGGTGGAGCAGAAAACATCTGTGAAGAGGATGAAGAAAAGTAGGAGGACAAACATAAGAACAAAAAAATTGAGAGAAAAGAGGATGAGGATGGAGAGAAGGAGAATGAAGAGGAAAAGTGAAAAAGGAGGAAGCACTTCCTAGAGATCCTTGGAAAGAAAGACACTGTCAATATTAATTCCCACGTGCCATTACGAAGTTAGCACCTCCTCAGGACACCTTAAAATTCAGACCCCATCTGGTCTGATCTGGTCTGAGTCTGAGCTGAGGCATTATGATTCAGTGATGATTTTGTCTCCCCAAAGGTCAGCATGTGCTTGAGGCGTCCTCGGTCACAGTTGTGGAGGTAAAGAACTCATGGTTGGTGTAACTGTCTGATCCTCAGTGACTAATGGGGTCAGGCACATGCCCCGATGACCTTTCACCTTTGACCCTTTGTCTGTCTGCTGTGCACCTGTGTTTTAGGGTCATATTTTGAGCAGTCATCCTCCTCATCTCAGCCGCTGAGATCCACTTCTTCGGTCATCTGTACAACAGCCTCATGAGCCTCCTCTTTATTTTAGCCTCTACTCACTTTCTGACACAAAATGGATGTTGTGAAAATCCATCCATCCATCCATTTTCGTCTGCTTATCCGGGACCGGGTCGCGGGGGCCTAAGCAGGGACTCCCAGACTTCCTTCACCCCAGACACGTCCTCCAGCTCCTCCGGGGGGACCCCGAGGCGTTCCCAGGTTGTGAAAATGACCTGGTGAAATCTTGGTCTTTATTTAGACTTTGACACACAGAAAAATATAACAAATATATCTCCCAACTTTGTGTTGGCCAGTCAGAGGGTACACACCTTGTGTGTGAACACAACTGATACTTGTCACAGGGTCACAGTGTCTGTGCATTGGACTCACAGTCCATCTTTACCTTCAGACCAAAACAACCAGACCAGTTTTGTCCTAGTTAGGCCTGAGCGCCAGAGGCTGGCGAAGGGCCTATTAGTATCGCAAAGTGATGCTCCAAGTAGCCGAAAAATGGAATGGTGCGACGTGACTCGCCCGTAGTGACCAGGGACCCTCGCCATGCAAGGCGCCTGAGGTTTCCGAAAATGTATAGTTTGTCGGCCAAAAAAAAGCGGAACATTGTTCTCGCATCATAGTATTATTTTTTCTTCTTATTATTATTATTTTTCTCCTAAGCAACTCACCGATTTTTCACCCACTAAACAATAATAAAAAGTCCTGGAAATTTTGCCATTTGGTAAAACTCACGCTTCCCTGCGTTTTGGCTATTTCCATTTTCCAAACAGAAATAAAATGGCTCGTCAGCGCCCCCAAACGACTCAAAAATGCAATAGGGAATACGAATGACACAAAAAAAAGGAAGACAAGGAAAAAATATTATTATGCCAACACCGTGCGCTCCACTAGGGGGCAGCAATATTGGCTTAAAGTTTGCTAAGCTTTTACAAACTCCGAGGGCGTTCGCCCGAACGATCTTAAATTTGGTCCACATTATCTCCAGATGTGGAACATCAAAAGTTATTCAAATTTTTCACACACGACTTACGGTCTCTGAGCAGTGAAGCAACAAAAAATGCAAACAATTTAGGAGATTTACAAATTGCTCCCATTTGCTCAAACGAACTCTGATTTCAATGAAATTTGAAGCAGTTGTTAAACTCTCTGCCCTGAAGCTACTTAATGTGAAAATTATTAATTTGGCGCATTAGCGCCCCCTATAGATTGAAACAAAATTTTATATGAAAGAAAATAATTTGTTCCCAAATAGTTACTCAAAAAGTTCTGAAATTTTGCACAAAATTCCATTTTGGCATCCTGATCCAAAAGTCAGTGACACCCATGTCATATTTTTTATGGCGTTGCCATAGCGATGACATAAACTCTCCGTTGGTAAAATCTACAAATTCTGGCACAAAACTTTTTCGCCGATTTCACTCAAATTTTAATCGCTGATTGACACCCTGACCCTGAACAGATTTATATAAGAAAATCTCAGATGGGTGCAATAGCGCCCCCTAGTGAAATTGCACGGTACTGCAAACATTTACTTTGTTGTAGACATATACAATTTGGTACACAGATTCATGACATGGTCTTGATTAAAAACTCAATGATGCTCACATCCCGTTTACATTGTGTTGCCATGGCAACAAGCCAAAATTGTATCCTTGCCAATGAAATGTCCTACACAAACGTTGGCGTAGCCAAACCAAATTTGGTAGCCAGATGCATCATGGCAATAAGAACAAAAATGTATATTGTGACCACGCCCCTTTACAAACCGGAAGTCCGCCATCTTGGATAATTTTTTTTGCCAAATTTTGAAAATTGCAGGGTTAAATTAAGACTTTTAGGGCTAGGGTTGGAGCTATGGTTAGGATTATGATTAGGGTAAGGTTTAAGCTTAGGCTTATTAGGGTCAGTGTGAGCTGCGGTGTTTGCGGGGTGCAGTGTTTGCGGGGCGCGCCGTAAGCACGCGCGAGGGCCGATCATTGCCGCTTGCGGCTATATTTTCTGTAGGAATTCATTGGAAGGAAATATATAATTTTTTCACACATAACCCTCACCCTGTCAAAACACAAAAATGCACCATTTTTTCCCACTATAACTGATTGACATATACTAGTCTCTAATAAATTTAAGTTTCTTAAAGTATTAAAATAAAGTTTTGAATTAAATTTTGAAATTTGTTAAAAGTAAAAATAAAATTTAAAAAACTATTTCAAGTACAAATTGTTATATAATAAAATACATATATATATATATATATAATAAATATATATAATATATATATATAATAATATATATTATATATAATTATATATATATATATAATATATATATATATATATATATATATATATATATATATATATATATATATATATACACAGTCCCTGACAAAAGTCTTGTCGCTTATCCATTTTGTAGAAACAAAAGATTATAACCTGACTTTAAATTAATCGATTGGTTTTAGAAATGTCTCATATGAAAGCTAAAACCCTCCCAAATTATGCTCAATATACTAAAATAAATTTGCTTCACTGAAGAAAGATTGATCATTTAATGAACAGAGAAAGGTCAGATTTTGGCAAGACAAAAGTCTTGTGGCCTTGTCATATGATGCACCCAATCCTAGATTACAGCCTCACCTGTGATCAGTTACTGATGGTCCTCATGGACCATCAGATGGACTCATGGTCGAATCAGTGCACAGAAACCAGCACTAAACAAAAGGCAATTAAAAAACCGTGTAGCATTTGCCAAGGCCCACAGCCTGCTAAAAGGATGGACACTGGAAAAGTGGCAGAAGGTGGATTTCTCAGATGAATCCTCCGTTGAATTACATCACAGCCGCCGCAAATATTGCAGGAGACCTACTGGAGCCTGCATGGATCCAAGATTCACCCAGAAAACAGTTAAGTTTGGTGGCGGAAAAATCCTGGTCTGGGGTTCCCTCCAGTATGGGGCTGTGCGAGACATTTGCAGGATGGAAGGCAATATCAATAGCCTAAAATATCAAGAAGTGTTAGCTCCTCTTACATTTCCAACCATAAAAGGGGTCAAATTTTGCAGCAGGATGGTGCTCCATCGCATACTTCTATCTCTACATCAAAGTTTCTCAAGGTGAAGAAGATCAAGGTGGTCCAGGACTGGCCAGCCCAGTCACCAGACATGAACATCATTGAGCATGTCTTCGGTAGAATGAAAGAGGAAGCATGGAAGACAAAACCAAAGAATCTTGATGAACTCTGGGAGACATGTAAGACGCTTTCTTTGCTATTCCTGATGACTTCATCAACAAATTGTATGAATCATTGTTGAACCGCATGGATGCGTCCTTCAAGCTCATGGAAGTCATACAAGATATTAAATATGGATCTCACAGCACCACTACTTCATTCACTCACGTTATGCAACATATTTTTGTATTTGAAGTAAATTATTTGTTCAATTTTCTGTAGGCGACAAAACTTGTCTTGCCAAAATCTGACCTTTCTGTGTTCATTAAATGATCAATCTTTCTTTAGTGAAGCAAATTTATTTTAGTATATTGAGCATAATTTGGGAGGGTTTTAGCTTTCATATGAGACATTTCTAAAACCAATCGATTAATTTAAAGTCAGCTTATAAGCTTTTGTTTTTACAAAATGGATAAGCGACAGGACTTTTGTCAGGGACTGTAATATATATATATATATATATATATATATATATATATAATGTATATTCCAACAGAGCTTTGTTCTCGCATCTCGGAGGTGCTGGAGGGACCATCATGGCAGGACAAACCCCTACATGGGGCGTGTAGTGGGAACATATAAGATGGTCCTGAGACCAATTCATAAAGGCCTGCATGCCTGCACGGAGTCAATATTATGCTTATACAACTCGCTATCTTTTAGTAGGGGATTGTGCCAAGGACACTGTGTTTACGAAAAACAGGGCATCCTGCCCCATTGCCAGTCTCAGAAGACTGGACATGGGACAGGAATGCGCCTCCATGTATGTGTGCGCGGTGGAGACTGGCCCTCTCTGCACGCACAGGTGCATGAAGAGAATATATAGAGGCGGAGGGAAAGCACCCACTTTAGAGTCTGCTGCGGGTTACGTACGAACGCCCAGCCGGGTTTAAGCCACTCTGCCGTGGGTTGTTGGCTCTCCAGCCCAGTGTCAACGGTGAGTTTGATTTTCTTATGTGCCAGTTTGTGTGA